ATTATTCTATTTTCTTAAGCTCTGTTAACAGATAGTAATATAACATAATACTTTGTCAAAGAAAAATAAAACAATTTGGGTCCTATATGATGTCATGAATTTGGGACACATCTTACGTGAAGTCAATTTGAGAGCAATGTATTCCAACTACAAGCCATCAATCAAACTTGTTTTGCTTTTCTTTTTCTTTTTCTTTTTTCGGCCAAAGAAGGCAACGTCAGATAAAAGACAGGAAATGAGAAGGAAAAAAAACTGCTAATTTCCTCCCTCTCAACTTAGAAAACGAAAGCAGAAGAAACTGACAAGGCAACCATTGCATCAGAAAAGAAATTTCAAATTCCCATCCACTTTTCATTTTATTTTTCTTCAAAGAAAATAAGACATTACTGTTGTTAATTAGTGCCTTGTTAAATGATGAATGAAATGCAAAGTATATACGTACGTTGACAGACACTGTATGTTCACGTGCTCTATTGTTTTTTGTAGATTGAGGCTGGTAGGGTAGGGGCCAACAAAACCTAGTCCATCCACCAAACCAAACTCATCTTTGTTTAAGAGCATCAAAGAAAGATAAGATCCATCCATAACACATCCGCACGCCCAAAAACAAAAAACATAAAAAATAAATAAAAAAAAAGGACCACGCAAACAAGCTATAGGAGCTAACTCCTCACTCATGGTCAGGTGGTGCTTAACCTTTGACATAATCGAATGTAACTAACCCTAGCTAGAGTTAGTACACCTGCTATACATCCTATGTGAAGCCAGCCGAAAAGGAAATTGAGCCCGAACCATTCTCAAAAAGTTTGTGATCTTACACACCCAAAAACTAGGACGGTACTGCATGCATGGCCTCAAGAATCTAGTTCTACACAAAGTTAATTAAGGGGCCATAGGGCAACTGTGGCAGTTGCTAACTACAAACTTATCATCAATTAATGCTAGTGTTTGTGTTTACAAGTGTAAATCCAAGTGATCATTAATACAAGTTAGGGATTAGTCTGTGATTAGTTAGGGATAGCAAAACAATGCTATCTCCGTTTCATACAAGTTTTCACATTTACTTTCAATGCTAACAGTGCTTACTACAGGCTGTGCCAACTTCATTCTCAATATCAGAAAGCCATCTTTTGTTTAATTTTGTTTTTTTCTAGGTGGGGTGGTGTGGATTAGTTCATGAATTTGAAAACGAAGAAGTTTATACATGTATATATAGTATAGAAATGTTAGGTTTTCCCTTAAAGTTAGTCTCTTTTTTTCTTATCTAAAACCAATCACTTATATTTTTCGTTACTTAAATTCAACGATTAGAATTCAACTAAACAAGTGTGCATGTTTCTGTATGTTTAATATCTAAACTTGGAAATACGCAATGTATTAGCAGAAAGTTATTGAAAGCAGTTTGTTGTTGTTGTAAAATGAATCAAATTAGGTTTGTTTGGTTTTGATGGGGGGAGAGGGAACAAAACAGGTGGATGCCACATTTCCACCAGCCATGAAGCTAAGCTTAGACCTTAGAGAGAGGCAGGTAGCACTTTGGTAAGATGGGGAAAATGACAATTCCACTAGACTCCTTTTTTTGAGTGAAAATGATGCCCAATAACCCCTCTTCTTTCATGCGTCCCTCTCAAGTCGTCTAGAATTTTAAGCACGCCCTTGTGGACAAGGAAAAGGGATATAAAGCTTATATGGATGGGTGGCTAGGGATGGAAGGATCCCATTAAATACTATATTGGAGCCAAGGCCCCACCCACCCCCCACCACAGTTAGTGTCCAGAAGGCCTTGCCAAAGAGAGCTGCCATGCAACATTGTGTTGTTCTATCTTTCAGGCAATTATGTTCCCTACCCTTTAAGAGAGAGAGAGAGAGAGAGGACTGATTGGAGGAGAAAACTCATATCATATTATCTTCCAAAATATTTTGATGGACGGTGCACCCAATAAATAATCTTACTCTTGCTTCAATATTTCTTGACCTTTTGAAGGAAGTAATTTTAATATAGAAGCATCAAAGCCAGCACTAGATATTTTGGATAAACTATGAACAGAATTCGGAGCACAAGATTAATAAGAGGTCTAGAAGCACAGACTTGGACAATTATCATTGGTTGATTTTCAATTTCAGCCAAAAGTACTTTACTCATAATTTCAGCCATTTTTCAATTATAATGGGCCATGGCCCAAAGAGAGAGAGAGAAGAAAGGCTGAACTCGGAGCTCCTTTTATCTCCAATGAAACCCAATCAATTCTCATCTCTTTTTATTTTTTATTTTTTTAAGTTCCAATTCATTGCAATCCCACAAAAGGATAGAGAACATTACAACTAAAATCAAGCAAAAATACCGGTTAGAAAACCAACATGAAACAAATATGAACAAATCTAGCTAAAACCATCACAGTATAGCATGAAGATCATGTTCTCGAGCAAGAAAACTAAAACGTCAAAAGCCAACGTAAAGACATTTAGCCCATATAAAGACATATAGCCCACAAAGAGGCATTATGCCCACATTCGGCATAAAGCCCACATTAAACATAAAATACATAAAATAAAACAGAAGAAACCTAGCCGTCACAACCAAACAGAAGAAACCTAGCAGCCACTAGCAAAGAGACACTCCACACGATTGTAGATGGACAAATCACCAATCACCACCATGAAGAACCAAACACCCATAAGTCAGCAAATCAAGCCAAATATCCCTCAAAAGATAGCTAGAGAAGAGGGGGAATTGGATTTTTCAAGGCTTTGGGTTGATATTGGTAAGTGCCTTTACAAAATTATAAATTTAAAAAAAAAAAACCTAAAAATAAAATTATCCTTTTGAATTCAACAAAAGGGATCCAAAGCCATCTTCATATTATTATGTCATTTGAGAAACATTTTGGATGTGGCGTCACACAAGAGATAATTCATGTGGGGCATGCTGAGCCCGACATTGCATTCAAGCACCTTGTTTTACTGCTTTATCTGCCGAAAAAGAAAGTAGTTTTATTAGTTCGCTCTTCTTGGCCGCTTGTAATCAAATTCAGAAATTTCTTTATTTGACGGAAATTCTTTATTTGGTGACTGAATTTCACAATCTTACTGATTACATGTAATTCACTCCATATTATTTTGTGGGCACGCTTTGTGAATCGTTGTTTTTTTTTTCTTTTCTGTCTTTAATTTGGCCACGTACAGACGGAAATGGAGCAATGCACATGGCTGTGACTCCATAAGACAATGACAACACACACTTAGCCAGCCATATCCCAAATTTAATAGCTTCTTTCTCTGACCGGTCCCTTTCCTGTTGAAAAAAAACTTAATGAAAACATGCAGTCAGTAATTAATTAGTATGTGCAGGAATTCTTACTTACAGTAAAATTATGACTTCATAAACCAACACGTGCCGGTCGCCTGTGCGCCAGCCCTGGTTTTACCGTTGGTTAATAAGGTAATTTTCGTTTGACGCGTGTCCTCTGAGCGAATATTTGTCTGTAAGCTTGGTTCGGACGGAGGCGTAAAAAGAGTACGGCTCTGGTAAATTGTCTTCCTTCTCCCAATATCAGTCACCTGGGAGTTAATTTTCACCACAGCCAATCTCAGGTCGACACGTCACTTATCAAAGCGATGTCCAACTGTTTGACAAGTGATATGCTCTTGTTGTTGACAGCGAACACAGTGAATAGTTCCATCAACAAAAAGAGAAAGAGAATTCTATTTATTTCTTCCTTTCAAAGGATATAATGAATATCACTTCCATGTATTTATAAATAATGACTAGAAATTTGTTTCAAAAGGCCAGAAATGTTTTAGATACATATATATATATTTAAGAAATAAATTCAAGATTATAGTTTGTATTGCTTGATCTAATATGAGCGTACACTACATGAAGCCAATTGATGCACATGTTTTTTAGTTATAGTACTTTACGACATAGCTAGAAAGGAATAAGGTCGACTATATTTAAGCTTTTTATTTTTCGACCAAAAAGAAAGAGAGTTTAAATATAGCCAACCTTGTTTCTTTTAAACGTGACCAACTTGTTCTTGTAATCGTGTACGGCTTGTAGTCTTGCACGTTATATTATTTTCTTTACGGATTTTGTAGTTTGAATGAAGGACAGTCAATTGGTTGATGATTTTATGTTGATTTCAATGTTATCACATGATGTGTTTAAAGCTCGATAGGCTCCTCTCATATTTTCTTCCTTTGATTTTGTTTGCACTAGGCTCTTCTCATTACATTGAAAGCCAATAGTCGTAATGCCAACTTTTATTATTATTATTATTATTATGTTTCCCCACCCCATATTCTACTTGGGATATTGCTAGTGAGGTTTTTTCTTCTATAAAAAAGGGAAGAAAGAAATCAATTCCAAAAATAGGAATTTCAAGGACATGCAAGAAGAATGCTAAATACCTCCAACCGCAATCCATACATTTTGTCTACAAACACATTTTGCCCAAAAATCGTTTCTTCCATTAAAAACGTAATTTGAATGGATCGATCCATAGTATGAAGTATGAACTTACGGTATCTATTTTCGCTTTAGCTTTCACAATTAAGTTTCATAGTGGCATACATGATGTGATTTGAATGATTTTGCTGTTGTTGTTATGAGGTGTGAATGTTAACATTTTCGAGGGTTTCAAAAAATTTAAAAAAAAATCAAAATTAAAGTTTGAAAATAAAATGGTATCAACGAAGTGAAACTCCAAATATATAGAAAGATCATGAGAGGAAGAGGTATAGGGCTAAATATCCCCTTCAAAAAGGAAACTATAGAGTAGTATCTGACATGAAATATGAAGTGCTGCCCAGCTAGGAGTCGACACGTGTTCATCCAAATGTATGCAACTGTTAAGGTTTATTGTTGTTGGACGTCCGCTAGGCAATACAAGGTAACCTAGAGGCCTTGACAGTGCACATATAATTGAATTGAATTGAATTCTTTGAAAAAAAAAAGATGAAAAAAGGATGATGCAGTGGAAAAGCTGGACCATAGAGTGAAACTGGGCAAAACCCTTGTGGTTGTAACTTGTAACTGGTATGGATATTGGATACACACAAAACACAACACAAAACAAGAATATTAAGTGTACAGTAGTAGGGATAGGGAAGATAAAACCAAGCACGAATACAAAAGCATTTTCAGTGGTTTCCATTTCTCTCATATTGCATTCATCTTTTTATCCCTTTTGGTACCCTAAACACACACCCTCTTTAAAGAAACTTTGTCTGCCTCTCATCTTAACCAATACTAGAGAGAGAGAGAGAGAGAGAGGGAGAGAGAGAGAGAGATATGGGAAGAGGTAGAGTTGAGCTGAAGAGGATTGAGAATAAAATTAACAGGCAAGTGACTTTTGCCAAGAGAAGAAATGGGCTGCTCAAGAAAGCTTATGAGCTCTCAGTTCTCTGCGATGCTGAGGTTGCCCTCATTATTTTCTCCAGTCGTGGCAAACTTTATGAATTCTGTAGCAGTTTGAGGTATATATCTCCTCCCCCCCACCCTCTCTCTCTCTCTCTCTCTCTAGCTATATCTAGGCAAACATGTGTTTATGTATTTTACTTATCAGTGTCTGCGACTTACATATTTGTCGGAGAAATTTTTTTGTTATGTACTAGCAGTGGTTTTAATGCGCAAAAAGATGCGGATTTCATTGATTCTTCTTGATTCATTTAGTGTAGATGTTGATCTGTTGCAACTGATCATTTTAAGAAGATTAACAACTTTTAAATTTTTGGTGTCCTCATAGTTAAAGATGTAAAATCTTTTCTTCTCTTTTTGAGTTCATGTGTTTCACAGAAAACTTCGTCTTTGATTTTTATACTCAATTAGTTTTAAATACAACAATTTTCCAGTATTTAAAGAAATGGGTTTTGTAAATTAACTTAAATTTTTTCAGTTTCGAAATTGTTTACATATCCATTAGACACGTGTAAAAGTTTCCTAAATCGTTTCCTATGATTTTCTAAATTTTGAGTTCTCTAGTAATTTGCTACTTATATAGCATATAATGGAATTAAGCTTATTTAGAAGGCTTTCCTAAATATAGTTATGTTCTTTTGTACTCTTTTGAAGACAGATTTGGTGGGTTTTTTTTCCTTCTTTTTAAGTAAACAAGATCATAAAAAACTCTGAATCGTGGTGTTTTCATGGAAAACACATATTAACAAGAAAGTTACAGATGATTCTTTCATCATTTTCTACTGTTCCAGGAGAACCGTCATATTTTTTAATGAGCAGGGAAGAGACAGTAATAATACCGGTCACTGTTATGATTCGGTAGCAGGATGATTTGATATTTGATTTGCTAGTTTTCTGCATGCAGTACTTTGTGTTGCATTTGAAATAATTATTTTCAGTAAGAGAAAGACAAAAGGCTGCCTCTTTGCTGCCAATTCCAAAGCTGGATTATATTTCTGCAAAACCTTGGAGCCAGATTAGAAGACTTTGGCCTGATATATTACTAAAAATATTATACTTGTAGTCTTGTAGAAGTATTCTGCATCCACAAACACTAATTCCTAAATAATTATAATAAAGTCATCAATAAAACCTCATCATATTAAAGATTTATTAATTATTATTACTTTTCTTTTTTAAAATGGACCTGAAGATAAGATTCTGCTTTAAAAATTTAGGTAAAAAGATGACATTCTTAATTTAGAATCCCGGGCAACTTTATATGAAATTCAAAGTTTAAATGTGGAGAATTTGGAAGTTTCTAGATCCTGATAGTACAAATGCTAGTGGCTTTTAGGCGGTCTGATGTATCTAGCTGATAGACAACAGAGCACTTGATGGTAGCTCATTTATGTTATCCAAGTGATAGAGAAAACGCCGAACCTAGTAGAGTGGGCTTGTAACTAAGCAGGGCATTGAAGTGATCGAAACCTTCTCAAGTGATAGAGAAATTAGTGCTAACTTAATGACAATCATCCCCTTCAATATTTAGCCTTACAACACTCTGAAATCTAATCACTTGAAGTTTCTTGAGTTTTCTTGCATTTCCTTTGTGACAAGCATTGCTAAATTGATGGTTGCTTCACAAACTTCGTTTTACCTTCGCTTAAACATATTTAATCTCAGTGCTCGGTAACGAGTTTAGCTCTCTCTCTCTCTCCCTCTCTCTCTCTCTCTCTCAACAAATAAAACTTCACAAGATCTAAGAAAGTGAAACGCTAATGTACCCCATGGAAGTGGGAATAGCAGCTTGAAGTTCTCCATTGTTGATGAGTAGAAAGTAATGCTACCTTGCAGGCCTAGAAATTAATAATACCTTGCTACTCCCCTTTTTATTAGTAAGTAACAAAGAACCTTGTGTGGCTTGGATATATGGTATTATTCATCTATACAGGCTATAAATATTTATGAGAATTAATCTACTATATATAATATATATATATATAGCTGATTTCACACAGGGTTCAGGTATGGCGCACACTTATGTTCGAGGATGTAATTGCTTTGTGTTTATTGGGGGATGATTCACAATGTGTTCCATCGTCACCGTTCATATAAGCTGTCGTTTAGAAATTAAATAATTTGATTTTAACACCACTACTGGACCCAAAATCATAAGATTCTTATGATTCTTAAGTCAAATAATGTGATGTAAATCTCTTGTTTTCCTTACCCTCACATGTTGTTTTTAGTACACTTTGTTCTTAGCCATATTGATTATGCATTTTAAGTTGTCGTTTTTATGATTGTGAGGATATAGTGGTATTGTGAAATCACATATATAAAATTTTAGTGTGTTAAGACCTATGTTTTTATTTTTATTTATATTTTTTATGAGACTAGGCTTCAAGAGTACCTTGGTGAATAGATGTGCTGATATCTTGATGTTCTTCAATTGTTCACCTTGTATCTTATAGCATGCTGAAAACGCTTGAAAAGTACCAAAGGTGCAGCTATGGCTCCCTGGAAGCCAACAAACCAGTCAATGAGACTCAGGTAGGCTGGACAACCCCACTATTATTAAAAACCAACACTATTTTAACAATCCAACCTTGTGGAATATTTGGAATGCGTCTTTTTTTATTTATTTAAATAGTATTTAATACAAAAATTTGCTGACAACTCTAGAAATGTCATGACAAAATTGTCTTTTGTCTCCAAGCAGAACAGCTATCAGGAATATCTGACGCTGAAAGCCAGAGTGGAGGTCCTCCAACAATCTCAAAGGTATTTTGCACAACCTTGGAGTTGATATTTGCTTGTCATGCAATCTTTGAAGAAAGATGGTAAACCCCAAATATATATATTCTAAGAGTAGATGCTCCTGAATGCTGCAGAAACCTTCTTGGGGAAGATTTGGCCCCACTGAACACAAAGGAGCTTGAGCAGCTTGAGCATCAACTGGAGGCATCCTTGAACCAAATTAGGTCAACAAAGGTGATTAACTGATATAATTTTGGTCAATTTGATCGTTTACGGAAGCTTATACATGAAACCCTTTGTCTTTCATAAAGCAATCTTTCGCGCTTGAGTTAATGCCAACAACAAAACTCCTGATTGCTTGACCCTTTGTCTTCTTTTAATTAAGTTTGTAAGGCGCACTTGTTATGTTGTGTTATGCTAATTCTTTTTTTCCCACATTTTATTCAGACTCAGTTTATGCTTGATCAGCTTTGTGATCTCCAGAACAAGGTAAGTCATGAATCTCATTTGCGCGTCAATGTTGATACATACACTTGCACATGTGCATATATGCTTATGTGATTTGCCTTGAACACATAATAATTCCTGGACTTCTTGCTTTTTATTCTTGAGCAGGAACAAATGCTAGTTGAAGCTAACAAAGCCTTGAGGAGGAAGGTAAAACAAATGAAACCAAATGCCCCATAATTTCTTGCTTCATTAATTGGATCTAGCTCTTTGTGTTTACAAGTGTAAATCCAAGTGATCATTAATATTAATGATCCCTTAATTAATTAATTAATTAATAATTGGGTGTATATATATAACTGAACACAGATGGAAGAAACTAGTGGGCAAGCTCCACCTCTATTGGCATGGGAAGCTGCTGGCCATGGCCACAACAATGTTCAGCATACTCGCCTTCCTCATCATCCTCACTCACAAGGCTTCTTCCATCCATTGGGAAACAACTCCACTTCCCAAATTGGGTACACATCATCTCAAATCCCTGCATCCAAACGGAGCCTTAATTTCCATGAATTAACATGTCCTTTTTAATTCGTTTTCGTCTTATTACAATGCAGATACACCCCTTTGGGTTCAGATCATCATGATCCAATGAATGTTGGAAATCATGGCCAACATGTGAATGGATTCATTCCTGGGTGGATGCTTTAACTTTGATTTCGCATGATCAAGATGCCAAGATGTGGCGAATAAAATACATGTAGCGGACCATCATCTCATGTTGGATGGAGCTTTTCTTTTTTGGTTGATTGTAATCTTCTTTCTATGCCATGCAACATGTAATTAGTCTTTGAACCAATAAGAATAAATATATATTTTTATTTATGTTTGTAAGTTGTATTCATGACATTGAAAACCTCTCTCTCTCTCTCTCTCTCTCTCTCTCTATATATATATATATATATATATATATGAATTGTGTGATATGTATTTGCATAAATTTGTATCAGAATCACTCTAGCTATATACCAGTTTGAACAAGTTTTGGGCCTCAAGCCTGTGGGAAAACTTGCCCAATTGAACTACTGGGCCTTCCATGATTCATAGGTCCATCAAAAACTTGTGTGCATGCGAGCAAGCAATCGTGCTTAATTAGGAGACAAAAACTAACTTGTCTATCGTCGTACTTACAAGTTACAAGACAATTTGCCCAATAAAATATTAATGTAACCCAAAAGGTGATTCACCTTCTTCATATCAAAACAAAAATGGATATTAATATCAACGACCATCTCTCTCTCAACTTTCTTACCCTAATAATTATTTTCCGTTGCGGACTTTCTTATACGAAGAAGTTAAACAAATGATTTCGTGTACTCAATCGAGAGTTAGTTACTTGATAAGGAAAAGGATGACAACATTATAATTTGCAAAGTTATCTGTGTTTTTGTTTTCTTTCGGGTAATTTGGAAAGATTAGGGTTTTTAGAGCAATTAATCATTGAATGAAAACAGGAGGGAAGAGCAACAGGAGATGCTGCTGGGAGAGTGGGAGAGTGGGAGAGTGGGAAGGGAAGGACGTCTGGAGTTGGACTGCTTTTATGATTTATTTGATGTCCTTTTCAGTGGAAGTCTTCTTCTTACCTGATTCGGCCAATCAAGAGAGACAACGCATGGAAAAGAAAAGAAAAGATACCTAACTCTTCCTACGCAACTATGGGTTGGGCCACGGCCCACGTGAAAATTAATCTATTTTTAATTCATACCGTTGGCAGAGAGGGGAAAGGGACCAATTTAGCAATCAAACGCACACAAAACACAGACTAAATGTTACAAAAACACCACCTTCCCCTCCCAGGCTCCCAGGCTCCCACTCATCATTCAAATCATGATTTTGTTTTTGTTCGAGTACGTGCGTACTAGTATACATTGGCCATGTTCATATGTGTAACTGTTGTCTGTTATTGCATGCCAATGGCAGAAATAGTTCACCAAAATAGTAACCTCTTTATGTGCATGCGTGTTTCTCTGTCTGTGTTTTACAATGTAAAAACAGGACTGAACCCCAACAATCAATACTCGAGGCATTAATTCCCCTTTTTCGGGGAATGAAGTTTGAGTAGTTAATAAATTTTGTGTTGTTTAGACGGGCTAATAAATAAGTACGGTTGTTGTTGTTTAAGCACGTGAACGATTATAGATGTCATTAATTAGGTTTCATATACTTTTAACTTGTGGAAAACAGATAACAAGATGCCTATACATCTAGTAATAGTAATAGTAATGTTGGTGATGAAAAAAAGTCAAAATTTATGCCAAGCAAATTTCATTAATATTATATATATATATATATATAGAATCTCTCTCTCTTTTTCGTTTTGGTTTGAACTTTGATAGGCAAGAGACTCTTGTCACTTTCAAAATGTTAAATGAATGTCACGCATGGTGAGTTTTAATCCCAAACTGATTATGACCGTACGTGGTGGACAGATGCATCCATCTTTAGATAGATATTTCGCTGTTGTTGTTTCTTCCAGTCAACTAGTCAACTGATGGGTTGTAAAAGTGGCATACTTTAATCGCATTCGAGAAACATTATCATTGACTAACTTGGCCTTGTTCCACCAAATACGGTAATTAATTCAATTTAGAAATTCATTTAAACATATTATTTTCCATGAAACAAATCTATTATATTTCATTTCAATATATAATCATCGTGCTTGGAATTAAAAATAATTTCATATTAACTACTTGTTTTGTCCCACTTCATAATCTCATTTTATATTGATTAACTAATCTCATCATCTACATCATTATACACTCAAAAGTTAATCATTTATATTCCAACATAGAGAAAAACAAAAACAAAAATGGTTCATAAATCCCAATATTATGATATCCAACTTAGACATGAGAAAAGCGAGGGAAATAAAAAAAATTCATAAAGCTTAAGTTAAAAAAGAGAGAAAGATAGAAAAAAGGTTAAATTTGTATGAATTTTTAGTGCATATATCATAAACTAACCTAGAAGATTTAAGGAAGAGAAGTAGAAGAGAGATTAAAAAGTTTAATGGTTATTTATTATAGGGTAAATATCCTAAACTAATATAATATATCATAATAACATATATTATATATATAATATAAAACTAGAATAGGTAGAAGATGAATGAGGGCTTGGGACCACACTAGTCCCTTAATGGCTCCGCCCCTCTGCTCAAAAGGAAAAGTGTCTTGTAGTGCCTTCCCTTGCCTTGCCTACATATGAATGAATTTTTCATTCGAATCTTGACAGGACAGGGAAAAGAAAAGGTTTCAAAAGGAAAAGTGTCTAATCTTGCCTTGCCTACAGATGAATGAATTTTTCATTTGAATCTTAACTTTTTACTTTGATTTATGTAACCATAATTATACTTATGAATACGTATTAGGTGTCGAAAAGTGTGATAAGCATATATCCCGGGTGAAAGTGATTAGTGAAAATGCTCTCAAAGAAAATGATTACAGAAAAGCATAAACCAGATGATAAGAGATAAGAGAAGTGTCTCAAATCAACGTACGATGTCTGCTAATATAAAGATTAAAACATATAATGGAGCCAATCCTATTAGGACAACTAAGCTATGGGGTGATAATAAACGATAAAAAATCATCATCATGATGACGCTGTGGTACTTACTTTGTTGGGATTGGCATGATAAGCAAGTTTTAATTTGGTGTGGAGAAAAGCAAGATAACATATTCTAAGTGAAGATTAAAGTAATTTTTACTTAATTCAATTTTTTGAGCTACAAACCCTTTTGCAACATGCCCGAATTCAAATACTGAATGAAATAACTTTAGGGTTATATCATTAAAGATTAATTGTGAGAAATTAATTAATGAGGTGATAATTAAGGTTAAATTGAGTGAGAGGGATCTAATTCAGTCCAATCCAATTCAATTCAACATATTTATGTTATTTTGTCGGAACATTAAATTTGTTGTCATAAATTAGACTGAGTGACTGTGACAGTGGCGCATACAGACACATTAAGCAGTAAAAAGTAAGCTGTGAGAAGATGCATAAGATTAGTAATAATTATGAGAGTGAACCCAAAAGGCAAAGTAAAAATAGAAACAGAGAAAGATCCCCCTTGAAAGCCGTACACATCACTTTTCATTTTGATTAATGTTTTTTGTGTAGGATTTGGAAATATTTGGGTTCTGGCCAATCCCAAGTCGACAACCATCCTGACCAAACCACTCTGGTTTTCCAATACTACCTATCTCACGTTTCAGCGGTTTTGTAATTTATATATTTATATATCTACTATATCATATAAATACAGAAACAACGGCAGTCAGAGAGAGAGAGAGAGAGCAGACGACACCTATCTACTAGAAGAAAGAGAGAGAAGAAGCATATAGCGCATCCCTTTCCTTCTTTCTTTCTTTCTTCGTTTCTCTCCCATTTTCTGGGTGGGGTTTTGGTTTCTGCAAGCAAAGAGATCATCATCTGTTCATCAGCAGGAAGGAGAAGAAGGGCTAGGCTTATAGGATAATATTATTATTCGTTTATTATCATAAAATTAAAAAGAGAAATTAATACTAGTAGTATATATTATGGGGAGGGGAAGGGTGCAGCTGAAGAGGATTGAAAACAAGATCAACAGGCAGGTGACCTTCTCAAAGAGAAGGGCTGGGTTGCTGAAGAAAGCCCAAGAGATTTCTGTGCTTTGTGATGCTGAGGTTGCTTTGATTGTCTTCTCCACCAAAGGCAAGCTCTTTGAGTACTCCACTGACTCCTGGTAATATATACCTCCACTTCCTTCCTCCTATCTATATATATATTATTCATTTAATAAGTATCTATTATTTATTTTTGTGTCTGTGTCTTTTTTAGGGTATTTCTTTCTTTTTGTTCATCGAAATTTATTACCCAATTCTACCAGTACGTTTCATTTGTTCATGCATTAGTTTTTTTGTTTCGACTCATTATTAGATCCATGGGCTTTTGAGAATACATGTTTCATGAGTGAGTATCTTTTCTGGGGATTTTCTTCCTCTATATTTAATTAGATTTCATGCAAATACCAGATGTTGGTTGAGGGAGAGAGAGAGAGAGAGAGTAAATATGGGACGGTCAACCTGTTCATCCATGTAAAACAAAAACGGAAAGAAAAATTGTTCATCGCAATTAACATTAACATATTGTTAAACCCCAACTAATTTGCATCCTTAATTCGTACTTAGGAATTCTAAGTTGCCTTGCCAAGAAGGCGGGCTTCCACTTTGTGAAACGTACAGCAGCTGGAATATCCCTAATTTCCCTTTCTTCTTTTAAGTTATTAATATATAATTTATATATAGGGGTCTATAAGAAAAATATCTACATATAGGGTGGGTCTGTCGTCTGTTTGTGTCTTCCAAACTTTATGTAGGCTCAAGTTCATATCTTTTTTTAGTATATATTGAGGAGGGAATTAACCTCCTCTATCAATTCCATTATAGGATATGTGAGCTCAGATTTTAATTCACTCTCACAACACAAGGTTTTTGTGCTATATATATATATATATATATGTATAACGGTTCACCTCAAATTAATGATTTTAGCGTACTGTCTCCTGACTGTTATTTGTCTCATCTTTTTGTATGATGATATAGAAATCTACCATCTTGAATGGAGTTTGGTTTATAGGAACTATGTAGGAGTAGTTACTGGTAGATTATTTCTGAATGAATTTGTTAATTATAACAGCATGGAAAGGATCCTGGAAAGGTACGAAAGATACTCATATTCAGAGAAGCAGCTTCTTGCAAATGATCATGAATCAACTGTACGTATGCACTTCTGGCTTTCCCTTTGATTTCAAAGCCAAAAATATCATCACCATGAATTTGGCATCCATTGCAATTTGCGTCATTCCCTTATAGACGAATCGGGAATTGACGAGCTAGGATCACTTTTCTTGGGTTCTTTTCTTTTAAATACTTCATTTGATGCCATACATTTATATATATTAGGGAAGCTGGACTCTGGAACATGCGAAGCTCAAGGCTAGGGTGGAGGTTTTACAAAGAAATCACAGGCACCAAACACCCATACATCTTTAATTTCTTTCTAATTAATAAAGAGCTAGCAGTAGTAATTGTATACTAGCTAGTTTTCATTAATTCTTTATTAATTTGCAGTCATTTTATGGGAGAAGATCTCCAATCCTTAAGTCTGAAAGAGCTTCAGAATTTGGAGCAACAGCTTGATTCTGCACTGAAGCACATAAGGTCAAGAAAGGTAAAACTACCAATGAACAACCCAGAAGGTTTCGGTAGAGTAGATTGAACTTGTTTTCTCTTTTCTCTCATTTTCTCTTTTGAAGAAAGAAAAAGGGTAACGAATTTGACTATGAATCTTTCATCACATACAGAACCAGGTTATGTACGAATCGATTTCAGAGCTGCAAAAGAAGGTAAGCCTGAGAAGACGTTCTATGCACGAAATTAGAAGCATGTTTTTGTTCCAGTATTAACTGTGGAATATTGCCTGTGTTAATTTGATCATGACAGGATAAGGCATTGCAGGAGCAAAACAACTTGCTGGCAAAGAAGGTATAACAATGTAATTATATATGTTTAGAAATTTGTTATTAATTTCGTAATTTTCATTTCTCATCATGCATGGCTAGCTTGAATTGTGTATTAAGCCATAATTAACCAGGTAAAGGAGAAGGAGAAAGCACTAGCTCCACAAGCACAGTCATGGGAGCAGCAAGTGCAGAACCAGGGCTTGGACTGCTCCTCCACCCTTCTACCAGAGGCATTGCAGTCCTTGAATTTCGGGTTAGCCTCACTCTCTCTCTCTCTCTCTCTAAAAGACTGAATTAAGAATATTAATTGAATACCAAGGCTGATTGATTACAAGGTAGGTCAAGTTTATTTAATCATTAACATGTGCAATATTTGATATTTGCAGCAGCGGTTCAAATTACCAGGGAATTAGAAGTGATGGATCCGGTGGAGATCATGAGGATGTAAATGAGACCCCGACAGCAAATCGACCTAATACGCTCCTGCCCCCATGGATGCTCCGCCACCTTAATGAATAGAAGAATTCATGATATCCAAACTATTCTAAGTTTATAACCAAGTACACATAATTTATATATATAATTAATGTCTATATACATGTATTATATATGTATGTATGCATGTATACCTACGTAGAAATTAATTTATAATGTGGATTATGATGGAAGGAAGAGCCTCTAGATAGCTCAAAATTTGTGGTATGTTGGGGGCGGCTAGCTCAAATTAACTACTACCACCTCTTGTATTTATTTAGTATATTATAATTTTGCATTGAAGGTGGACGAAAGACTATATATTTTCAAATTAACTTGGGAATTAGACCAGTGTTGTTGATATACACAAGTAGCTATATATAGTCCTTTTTCTTTTTGTCCAATTTGGATTTGATTGATTATTGGTGCTCTCTTCTCTTCTACTTTGGTTTCTGCTGGTAGCTCTTGCGACAGTTGAATTCTGCTGGTATTGTTTGCCACAGATATGGTAGATATGCATGTAGTGGTTTGGAGCAACTGCTCCCCTTGAAAAGGTCTTGGGTTCGAGTTATAGCATCTTTGATAAATTGATATTATGGCCATATCTTTTCTTTTTTGTTTTTTGTTTTTTGTTTTTAGATATATATGGGTTGTGTTTTCTTTTAGCAATGTTGTTCCATAGTGCCACAATGCTGCATGCCCCTGTGATGTATGTGTGACTGTAGATTAGGCATGGCGATAATATCAATTAATCATGCACAGAAACGGGCGGTATCCATCAAATCAATATTTAGCGTAGAATTGTGAAGACATGAAAAATCAATTAGTAATGCTAATAACATGTATCACCGTATTGTTGAACACTTGAAAAACCCAGTGCCATGCCAGTCTACAAGTTTAATACTACTACATAAATTTAAACCGAAACGTAATTAGCAAATCTTACTTACTACACAATACAGATACATCCTAAATATTTTTTATTCTTTTTTTCACGATTCCTTGTTTGTCTATTTTTCTTAACTCAGTTTCCAGCTCAATATTCACGCGGCTGAAGAATAGATTCCTTAATTACCATATATAATTCAATGTATGTAGTGTGAATGATTTCATATCCAGGTGGAAACTTGCCCAATCTAGTGTGAATGATATCATAGGGAGTTGAGAAAACCATTCCTAATACAAACAAATTAATAGAGATATAATAATGCAGATAGCTACCTCGTCTGCCTTGCACTTGATTAGCTAATGATGAAGTTGACTTTTAACATCCTAATTCATAATGGTTTGTGGTTTCTCCTTCTGTTAGCTAGTAATTAGTATTTGCTGATTTATTAATTAATTAATCATCTCCACACCACACCACACGGATGCTTGCTTGTCACTAAATTTGGCACGATTGGCCGGCGACAATTCTTTCTTCTATAAGTTGTCACTAGCTATAGCTCTCTCTTCTCTCTCCTCTCTCTTTGGGAAATTAGTCAAGCAACCTCAGTTACATGTATCATGTGTGGGAACTACAAATTACAAATTATCATGGGAAGCACGTTCAAGAAGTGGCCTACCACATTGAAAAACAAAGCAAATAAACAAAATAGGGAATCAATGCCCTTTAGAAAAACAAATGGTTCCACCTAGTTCGTCTGGTTGCCGCCTTATTCTTTGTATATATATGTATGTACAGCCAGCCAGTTTTGCCACCAAAACCAATATTGTCAACAAAATGAGTAGAAAATATGCAAGATTGTGTGGTGGCCGTCCCACTCTTTGTCTTCCGATCCATTCTCTGTCTCTTCGATCGAAACACACCTCCAGACGAAGTTCTGGTTCGATCAAAACTGATCATAACAGCACAGAATTCTTGAACAATAGCAGCGGCAAGGATGATTTCAGTGCTGACAATTTGAAAAGAGGGTCGTCTGAAGTTGGGAATAAGATAATGGTTGTGGTGGATCCAAGCCTTGAAGCTAAGGGTGCTCTTGAATGGGCCCTGTCACACGCTGTACAAACCCAGGACACCATTGTACTTGTTCATGTAGCTAAGCCCTCCAAACAAGGTCAGAAACTGACATTAATTCTTTCTTCTTAGTCATTTATAATTATCTTGTTGCTTGCAGTAATATTAATATTTATGAGCCTAATATGGTAAAGTGCTACTATTGGTTTGCAGGTGCAGAGTCAGATGGGAAGATCAATTTGAGGGCTTTTGAACTTCTTCACTCTATGAAAAATGTGTGTCAAAGGAGAAGGCCTGGGGTAAGTGTATCAAATTGCTTCTTTTCCATAAATTTTGTTCTGGATCAGAGAAAAACTATAAAGATATGAGTCTACATCAACTTTACTACAGGAGATCAATCTTTTTGTTAAGCAACTTGTAGCAATAATTTTGTTAATGTGCGATGTCAACTGTGCATTATGAAGCAAATGTGAAAGGGTTCCATTATCTTTGAACTATGACTTTCGTATTAACCAATGACTATTGAATATAAAGGTGGAAGTGAAGGTAGCATTGCTTGAAGGGAAAGAAAAGGGACCAATAATAGTGGAAGAAGCAAAGAGACAAAGGGTGTCCCTGCTCGTTCTTGGCCAAAAAAGAAAGAGGTCAATGTGGTGGCAACTCATCAAGAGGTGGACAAGGAGCAGATCCTCCGGCGAGGTAACTGTCGAATACTGCATCCAAAATGCTGCTTGCATGACGATTGCCGTGAGGAGGAAGAGCAAGAAACTTGGAGGCTACTTGATCACCACTAAGCTTCACAAGAATTTCTGGCTTCTGGCTTGATTTGAAATAAAAAAAAGACGCTTTTATTTATTGGGCTCCGTTTTGTTAGATAAGTTAAGCAATGTAGAATCTGTGTTTTTGGTATTGTGGTGTGATGGGGTTGTGCAGACAAGTTAAAAAAGCACTTCTCTGCCCATACAAGACATGGTTGTGGTGACTGGAATGCCTGTAAAAACTGGATGTCAAGAAAAGCTTTTGACTTTAAACTTCATGGAGTGCATGATTAAATTGGTATTTTCTGCAGCTTCTGAGAAGTCTCTTCTTTGGCAAAACTTAGAGGCTACCATGGTACATTGCGTTGACACTAATTTGTAATAGAAAATTAGGGTATAATTTAAGCAAGCCAAGGTTGAAGATTTGAAGGATCTTTTAAAGAATGTAAGATAAGGTATCGTAAATTAGATAAATGACAAGAAGTGTGTGGAATGTAATTGACTTTGCATTATAGGTGTGGAGTCAACGAATAGTGGTTGACACCAACGAATTGTGAAGACAAAGACGGAGGGAAATCATAATCTTTATACATTTTGGATACAAATTGGAACATTCGTTTTCTGGTTGTGCCTTTTTGAATGAAATAAAGAAAAACATCCTTTGAGAGTTGAGGCTAAACATAAATTGGAAGTCACAAACAGCTTTTCTGTATCCTATCTTCATCAGTACCATGTCCTGCGTGAATGTGGTACCTATACACTAAAACTGCAATCTTATCACTGCCGATGCAAATAATTGAATATAAATTTATTCGACTGTACAGAGGGAAGCCTTCGATTTTCTTTAGGCATTCCAGGAAACATCGATCGGCAGCTTTCCTTACCTTGTCGTGCCATTTTCCTCTTCACCTCTTTCTTCTTAAATTCTGAATAAAATCTTTGTATGAATCAACTGAAGAGTTAACACTAGTATACAAATCTCATATCCTGACATTTACTTCAGATCTCTTTTTCGTGGCTCAAAAGAATAACCATGTCCATGTGCCACGCCTGGCCTCTCACTTCAAAACTCTATGAAGCTGCTCAAAAGAATAACCATGTCGTCGATCAGTGTGCCAAGTCCGGACTTTCACTTCAAAACTCTTTGATGTGGCTCAATAGAATAACCCTGTCTATATGCAATTCGGTGCAGCTGATCATATCCTGCAAGTACCCCAGCCCCAGCAACCCCTAGAAGCATATTTGCAGTAACTCCTCGGAACAGCGCTGTGAAACCCTCAAGGTAAACAATCTCATGAAATGCATGTATGGCGTTGCGATACTTCGATGGTTGTCCTGATGTAAGCATCATTCTGCGCCGAAGGGTATCAAATGGATAGGCACAGACCCCAGAGACTGTTGTAACACTCCAACCAAGCAAGAAACTAGCAAAAAAATTCCCCTGTAGAAATTCAAATGATTTCAACTTTGAGGCTTGGTATCATTTAAGGGTTTTCATGGAGATGCTAGAGGAGGGGGGCACTATAGTATGTCTCCTACATATCCATGCAGATGTTATCAATGTACTAATCAAGAATGAATGCTTCGGTCATACATACGAAAATACACTCCCCTTTGAATTGTACAGATAATATTGAACATATATATTTTTTTCAGAAATGGAGATGCTTACCTCCAACGACCCAACCAAAACAATAGGCTTCATGGTGTCATAAATCCCAAAGTACATGCCTCGATACAGTGTAATCCCAATAATTGAAACCCCAAAACCTCGATAGAGACCCGCTATTCCATCACTTGACAAGGTTTTACTATAAACATCTAGAATCCCTCTGAACTGGCGCTGACCATTAACTGCAGACCCCCTTGCATCAGTGCCTAGCCGTGTTCGTGCATAGTCCAGGTGATACAGAAATAATGAAGTGGTTGCTCCAGCAGCACTTCCTGAAGCCACATTTCCTGCAAAGTACTTTATGTATCCATCTTTCTCTTTTGAGCAGCCAAAAATGCTTTTGAAGTAACCTTTAAATGCAAAGTTGAAGGCCTACATATATTCCAAAATATGTTTGGTGATAACATTTGGTAGGACTGCAAAATGCAAATCAAAACATGACATGCAGTTGATAGCATACAAACAATTTCAAGTTTCAAGCGACAATGTAGAATGATCAAATCTCCACTATGTTATGTGACTCCTAGGGATGCAATTAAGAAAATGGGGGGAGTTCTCCATAATTAAGATGGTAAAGCAAATTTTGATGAATTAGTGGACTTTCCATCCAACACATGAATTGCTAAGATAAATGTTTATAACATCCTGTTTTGTTAGCTCGTAAGTGAAGAAAAATCCAGAGTATATATTCACAAGACAAATCTAAGGTCTACGGAGAACCAATTTGCGATCTATTGTTAAGATGGAGAACCAAATTGCAAACTGTTGAGAACATGGAGAGTTAGAAACATTATGAAATTTAATGAGCAATTCCAATTGTTCCTTCTTCCCCTAAACTGAGCTGATATCCGAATCAACCATTTCACTGAAAGTAGCAGCAATTTGACAAGGGAAGAAACGCCTTCAAAAGTTAAGATACATCCTGATATTCACTTGCTTTGAGAGAAATACTAAACCAATACAAACAAGGCACAAGCAAGAAGAGTGTTTGAAATAGCATCTCATTCCAGCAGACAGACTAATAATTAATAAATCGATAATTTCATTACATAAATCCAAATACACTAAAAAATCAGCTTAAGGTTTGTAAAAGAAAGAAAGTTTTCATATTCAATGGGAGACTCGAAAGTAAATGAAGTACCTGAGTAGGAAAATATCGAATAACATTAGCCTGGTTGCCTCTCCAAAAGGACAAGACGCCTTCCTCTCTAAAGACCCTTTTAAAGCAATCACCAACACCCATATAAGGTCTCTTAAGCTGTCCTCTTTTTATCATCTCTCCTTGATTCTGCAAAAGAAGCTTCACTCTCTCAATGGGTGCTGCTGCACTCTTTGATACCAATGCTGCCATTCCTCCCATTACAAAATCTGCAGAAAACTTCTCAGATTTTTTTGTCATTGCCAACCTCTATCTCTCTCTCTTGGTCTCTTCAGCCCTGAAGAATCCAAGCAAAAGCAGAACAAGGTATCTGAGTAAAATGGGTGAAAAATGAAGTCTTTTAAGAATCCCAAATACATATTGATACAAGAAGCTGATTTACGTACAAACATACAAAACATACCCTGTTTCTTCCATTGATGTGCATATAGCAAGTTAGCAACCCAATAAACGAACAATGCCCAATCATATTCCATTGAAAAGCATATCAATTTGGTTGTCAAAAGCTGTTGTGAATATTAATATTATGCAACAAATTGAGAAATGGGTTTACAAATGAAAAAAGATAACATACCTTAAATTTTTAGAGAGATGGAAGTCACTTTTTGGCGACGGATAATGGGGCACACTCTCCCACCACCCGAATTAAGACGCAGGCTTTTTCTCAGAATTAAAATTAACAAATTCAATGAAACCGCAGTTCGCCGTCGATGACATCGTCGATCGAATGGGACTCTGGTTCCGGAGGAGTTTTGGATCGTTGGATGTGGGAAAAAAACCAAACTGAAAAAGTTAAAAAATTAGGTTGTGTTTGGTATGCCCGTTGGCACCCGAGGACCCAAACTAAACAAAAATACAATTTTGTCAAACGCGGCCTAAAACTAAAAATTTGCAAGATCTTCGGATGGACAACCAGGATGCGATGAGCTATGAAGAGTAGAAATGAAATCGTAAAAAGATAATAATGCCCTTATTTCTCTTTGTAATGTAGTAGGGCAGAAACGGCATTATCTATTTTTCATGTTCGCGAATTGACCCCAAAGTATTTTGTCTTTGTTTGAACATAATTTACCAATTTTGCAGTTGAGGACACTCAGAAACACGCTTCACAGTCACACGGCGCGGTCTTCTTCTGTTCTTCGCCACCCAACTCACTTCAATGGCGGAGGACCCAGCAAGCAAGCAACCCCTTGTTCACCATCATCACCAGTACTAGCAACATTATTGGCAAGGCGAAATTGAAAGGCATGCTTCTTCAGCCGAAATTGAATCATTTTCTTAACGAAATCGGTTTTTTATCGGGTTTTGGCGGAGTATTTCAAGCACTCTGCATTCGTCCACATCTGGATTCGCATTCTACTGATACATGTCGACGGCGATTGGAACTGGTTAGAACTTAAAAGATATTTGCTTTGCATATGAATATGATGTTTTTGTTTTGAATTTGAATTTGAACTCAACTGTTTGCTTTCTTTGTGATATATTATTGTTAGATGTTATGAAAACAAAGATACCCAAATAAAAGATAGGGACTTTGTAGAAAAATGGCAACAAGTTTCATTCATCTTAGTTAATTGTTTGAATAGATTTGTTGTTAATACCAATTCTCCCCTATTTGCTGGCCATTGGAGGTTGGGACTCTTCATTCAAGCTCCTGTCTTCATCAGCTTTTTCTTCGTCCTAACATCTCTCTCTTAACATCTTCCAACTGATCAAGCGTGTCTGATTTTAGATGTGTTCTTTGGATCATGTCTCAAATAGCTTTGTCTTTGTCTTCGTCTTCGTCTTTGCTTGGCAGATAACGAACATGGCAGAGGAAGTGCCATGTTTTACAAGTAGTTTATATCTGACATTCTATTCTTACTGGTTTCTTCTTACAATACAAGGGATACTTCCATGACTGAAATAGTGTGTCAAATGCATATTGAACACCCTGAAATCTTTCCTCTTATTTATAGCAGAGTGAGATTTTTTGGCAGGTTTAGATCCACATAGGCTTTTGCTTTCATTAAGTTTGGTTATGTCTAAAGATATGGGAAAACATAGCAATTTTGAAAGCACGGGACCAGTTGCATCCGATATTCAATACTGGACCTCATAGTCTGTCAAGTTGTAGGTGGTTTGGTACATTTAATATCTAGTTTGTTCGAAAATGTTTAATTTCTTATTTGCTTATTTTCTGTGTCATTTTCCAGCTCCTTTTTTGGATATCGGAAGACAGATTCGGAGGGGGTTGGGGAGGCTGCAATCAGATAGGGTCAGGAACTCTGTTAAACCAACTTAAGAATTAAATTATTTACGTTTGTTCTTTAGTGCAAGCAATCTGCAAGAAGGTGTGGAAGGGAAATCCTATTGCTACCACCATGAAAAATGTTTCAAGAGGTCTTGCTGCTCTTACTGTTCCATTTACCATGAGCTTTCCAAAAAGGTAGTTTTGCTAATTCTTATTGGCTTCTGCTATTTATGTTTATTCTATTCTCTTTGAACTTCTCTCCAGTCATTTCTGTAATAGATGTCATGCGCAGTTCGAAGCCAATGGCTTAGGGGTCTAATGGCACCTCCTCTTTAATAACAGGGCAAAGGCAAAGATGTCACTTTGAGGATAAATATTTCTCTATCCCCGTTCATTGCCCCATACTCTCTATCTCTCTTCTATTTTGATAAGTGACATGAGGATAGAGATGAAGGGAGGGGCAATGAAACCGGAATGGAAGTTGTTCTCAAATTTGAGGGGAGGTCTACATTGAGCCCGGGTCAGCACCTCTATCTCCAAAGTTATTAGCTACCACGTTCGCTGGATGCTTCACCCTACTACAACAATACAACCACCACTGATTATGAGATGAGATACCCCTGATGTCAATTTGAAAAGTAACATCTGCATCACTTCCGATAATTGGAAGCTGCATTGTTCAATGTTGGGATAAACAGGCTGTTGTAGAACTTTTTTTTATCTGTTAATTTATATATAAATTTATTACTCAGATTTTATAGACCCCACAGATAACACACTTGTTAGTTAGTTCCTCCCCCATGTGTATCTATCATATCACCTGTGATTTCAAGTCTTGAGGATGGGAAACCAGCAGATCGCATGTCCCCACTTCACTTAAAAGAATCATTTTCCCAAAACAATTGCCTTTTTTATTCAGTATGTAATCTAAATCTGAAAAACGAAACATTACCAGATGGAAATGAACTTCCATTTTTGTTTTTTGAAGGCTGAAGAGATAAAAACGAAGTCCTAAAAAACAAAAGAACATCGGACATTCTAAAAGCAATGAGTTCAAGTTCTAGCATTTGTTGGTTAAGATAGTTGGGTAGTGTTCCGGTACTTTTGTATTCGAGTTCGAATCTCTATCTGCATGCTTTAGAATATCACTTAATAAGAAAGAGATAAAAAAAATATTTGTGGCTTGAGTCTGCCATCTACTTAGCTAACTTAAGGTTAGCTTCGCTAGTCGGTGGCCACAAGGTAGAGACTTGAGGTGCAATAACTGGTTGTCACAGCCAGACACCCTACCCTACCAATACTGTGCCAATTATATACCTTCTACATGTGCAAACTCCACCTTAAAAAGTTGAGAATTTAGATTGATAGCAAAACAGCACAAGGATGCAATAAAATAAAAAACAGCTGGCTTGGGATACGATTTCTCCAAACGCCATACACATTTCAGTGTTACATTTCATCTACTAATGTATTTGGTGACATGGTAGATTTTCATGGCATAAATAATATGTGTGGTTGGTAATATCAGCAAACATGGAAACTAAATAATTGTTTGTTTTTGTATCTGCTTATTTGGATATTAGGCAACAAATACAATCAATCACATGGTCTCATGTGAAGAAAGGGGCCTTAGCTTTGGTGGCTTTGTGATTATTTTTTCCCTCCCCAAAGACACTAACACCATCTGCAATCTCTAGTTAAAATCTCAGTCTAGTTAAAATCTCTACTTTCTTCCGCTGTTACCGAAACACACACACACACACACACACAGAGTGACAACAACAGATCGCGAAACTCGATCACTCTTTGCTCTCTCCAGCTCCATCTTCTCGTTCTCCATTTAAGAGCTAACAAACTGTACCCTCTCTTCATTTCTCTGATTGATGCAGAGCTGCCCGCCAACGAGTGGGAGTCAAAGAGACAAAACAAAGGAAAATATTGATTCAAAGCTGTGTTTTTTTTATCGCTTTTTCGCATTCAAGGCAAACATTGGTGCCTGCCCAAGTAAGCCAAACCGAGCTGATGTGCTTAAAGGCCCTGTTTTGATGGTTTATTGATCGAATCTGGGACATGGGTCGGTGCCAAATCGTGATTTGGTGGTGAATTGTGGAGGACATTAGGCAAAGATGCGGCGACGGGCGGCCGAGTATCGGCGCCCGGTTCGAAGGAGGTTTTCGTATTGGATCTGGGCTCTGTTTGGACTCTTCTCGATTGCAGGCCTGGTTTTGTTAGTCGTTCACCATAATCAGCATGAAGATCGGGTCGAACAGCCTGTACTGGTATGATTGCTTAGCTCCCCTATGCTGCTATTATGTGTTTATTGATTCAGTTTGTCCTTGAATTGGTGACCTGTATGTTTCTTCAACATTTTAATTTGATATTGGTGGATAGGAATTTGATGTGTTTGCAGTCTGTTGTTTGGATTCATTTGAGGCTTTCGACAGTGAAATTTCTGATCAAGTATGGAAATACACAATTGGGTTTTTATTGTTCTGTTTAGACATTTGTATTAAGTGGTTTTGGATATTTTCGATGAGTTGGTTAACTGACTGAGTTATCATTCCATTGAGGTCCTTAAGTAGGCTTTGTTACGATACGGTCTTATTGAGTTCTGGCTGTTACTCTTAATACCATGTTTTTTTATTGCAAGTACGGATTATATTTGTAATTAGCAGTTCCATTATCTAGCTAGAGACCACATGTGACAGGCAGACAGCGAACTTGCAAAGCTTGGAGTTCATTAGGGCTTCCATTCTCACTTGTTCAGTGTGTTGAACTGTACTTTTACTAGTTGATAGTTGGGATTAGCTAAGTGTGCCTGTCATTGGTTGATAGATTTGTCTATTTAATCTGTCAATCCTTTGTGCTTGCCTTGTCCCTATATTAATACATTACATAATTTTAGTCTTTAGTCTTAGGATGGGGTGAATAAAGCAAATATGCAAGCACATACTTTGTTCACCGCCATTGAGAACAGTAACCCAGATGTATATTTTTCTTCTCTGGCTTGGTGGTATCATATCCAAAACATATTTTTGTCCACAGTATTGTCATTTATGTGTTTTCACGTATAGTTGCTTTTGTAAGATCTTTTGTATCACATTGGAAAAGTTTTCCCGTGTGTTACTCTGCTTAGATATCTAAAGTTTTAAGTTCCTGCCCAAATATAGCTTGTTACAGGAATAGAATTCTAGTTGACGTTGGTTGCATCTCTTTGTACAATTGTCATATACATCTGAGGGAGAACAGTGAAAAGTGAATGTCAATTACTTATTCAAAAATCTAGAAGACATACATTGTAATATACATTGGTGGTTGTTTGTAATTATTAATTGTAATAAATTGTTACCGCTGTTATTCCTTTGTGATATGGCTTGTCATCTTTCAAATAAATTGTTCAATTTCTTACTTGGCTGTGATCTCCCTTTTCCAGGAAAGAAATACGGGACTTGAACAGGTTGCTCACGAGAGTTTAAATTTTACGGCAGAAATATTGAGTGCTAGATCGTTTTCCAGGCAGCTGGCTGAGCAAATGACACTCGCCAAAGCTTATGTTATTATTGCCAAAGAGCACAATAACCTTCATCTTGCTTGGGAGCTTAGTTCAAAGATCAGAAATTGCCAGCTTTTGCTATCAAAAGCTGCCATGAGGGGGGAGCCGGTCACCTTAGAGGAAGCGGAGCCAATAATTAAAAGCCTTTCATATCTTATATTTAGGGCAGAAGATGCACATTATGACATTGCAACCACAATAATGACAATGAAATCTCATATCCAAGCCCTTGAAGAGCGTGCAAATGCAGCCACAGTTCAAAGCACAGTATTTGGGCAACTAGCTGCTGAAGCATTACCCAAAAGCCTCCATTGCCTAAATGTTAAACTCACAGCTGATTGGCTTAGAAAGCCATCTCTGCAAGAACTTGCAGATGAGAAGAGGAACTCTCCCAGACTCATGGACAACAATCTCTACCATTTCTGCATATTTTCAGACAATGTGTTGGCCACCTCTCTGGTTGTCAACTCTACTGTCTCCAATGCTGACCATCCAAAACAGCTGGTCTTCCATATTGTCACGAATGGGATCAACTATGGCACTATGCAGGCTTGGTTCCTCAGTAATGATTTCAAAGGGTCCACAATAGAAGTGCAGAATGTTGAGGAATTTTCTTGGTTTAATGCCTCTTATGCTCCGATCGTGAAGCAGCTCCTCAATGCAGATTCGCGAGCCTACTATATTGGGGGATATCAAGATAATGTTGCACCGAAGTTGCGGAGCCCTAAGTATCAATCTTTGCTCAATCACCTTCGATTTTACATCCCAGAGATCTATCCGCAGCTGGAGAAGGTAGTTTTTCTTGATGATGATGTTGTTGTCCAGAAGGATCTGACCCCACTTTTCTCATTGGATTTGCATGGAAATGTGAACGGAGCAGTGGAAACTTGTCTTGAAGCATTTCATCGTTATTATAAGTATCTCAATTTCTCAAACACAATCATCAGCTCGAAATTTGATCCACAGGCATGTGGATGGGCCTTTGGTATGAATGTTTTTGATCTAATTGCTTGGAAGAAAGCGAACGTAACTGCACGTTATCATTACTGGCAGGAGCAGAATGCTGATGGGACGCTTTGGAGGGTGGGCACTCTTCCGCCTGGCCTTCTAACTTTTTATGGTCTGACTGAGCCGCTTGATAGGAGATGGCATGTATTAGGACTGGGGTATGATCTGAATATTGACAACCGATTGATTGAGAGTGCGGCGGTTGTTCACTTTAACGGATTCATGAAGCCATGGCTGAAGTTGGCCATTGACAGGTATAAGCCTCTTTGGGAGCGATATGTAAATCAAAGCCACCCATATCTCCAGGATTGTGTCACAAGTTAGAATGTGCTACTTCTTGATTGCTAGTAATTCATGCGATCTTCGATACTTTTAAAACTCTAAACCTGCAAATGAGATCGCATTAATGTAGAGTCAGAAGTATAAAATTTTGACTTTATTAGGCAGTTTTCTTTTTCCTTTTCCATCACAGTTTTCTGAAAGAAAAGAAAGGCATTGTTTTTATACTTTAGAAAGTTTAAATGTACTAGGTGAACATTTGTGAGAGGTAGATTGATTGTTGCCTGATGGGGTTTTCTTCCCCTTCTGCAAGGTGTAGAATTATTTGTTCTTTTGCTAGTATTGTAATAATTTGTCAGCCTCATTTAAGTTATCATGCAACTTATGAACCATTTTTTCTCAGACATCCTAGACATAAACCATAACATCTGGTTGTCATTTTACTTGTTACCCATTTTTCGTTGAAGAATTATAATAATTATTAGAGGGCAGCTTCTTTTTGTGGATAACATTTATTTATTAATTTGATTTGCAAAGTTTTATTGGAAGGCCTGCTGTGGGATTTGGGTTTAAATTCCTGGATTTGTTTGAGCCCTCCCTCGGCTTTAACCCTATTTTGCTATCCCCCAGCCAATAACGCTGTGATTCGCATGATAACACTTTCACGTGGCATAACATTATTGGTCGGTAATAGCCAAAAGGTACTATCTTCGTTGCAACTAAGTTCTTCTCCTCGTTGAGAAAATGTCTTACCAAAGGTGGAAATGAAAATGTCAATCAACATTGTGGTTAATTAAACATTATTTGCAGTCTTTTCCGGAGCAGATAAGGCTTTTAATATATATATATATATTCCAAACATTATGTACATTTTACTGGATTAAGCATACAAACCATACCATATATCGCAGAAGTTGCCACCAAATATTTGAATTTGAATACGCAGATTGGTGCTCAATTAGCTCAAAAGATATTCAAGAGATTCTTTTGGCTGGCAATTGAAAAAAATGGCCCTCATTCTACGTAATTTAGCTGGCAATGGCAGTGCATGATGAATCATCTCCTACTACATATTTATATTTATAAGGTTTCAAAGACCTCTGTATTTCCATGCAATTAGAACATTTTCATCACTCCCCTGCATTTGCAATTATAGCTCCATGTCTGCAGGAGGAGCCTCCCTACCTTCTAAGCCATGCCAAGAAACCAGTCTTAATAATGAGAAACAAGACGACGAAGAAGCCTACGAAGAAACCATTGCAAAATATGGAGAATTGGTGCTAAGCCTTCCGAAAGAGAGAGGCTGGATGACTCAACATCTGGTCCAATACCAAAGGCTTCTGGCTTTCCCCTGCCTGCGCCTTCAAAGGCGCCCTGCTGCTCCAGCAACATTTTCATGCTCGACCATCCGATATATTCCTGGCCACCTTTCAAAAATCTGGTAAAACATGGGTCAGAGCACTCATGTTTGCAACCATGAACAGAGCCCTCCACGACGTGTCCTCTGATCAGTACCCATTGCTCACCACTGGGCCCCACGACTGTTTTCCTTTGCTGGATGCATACATACACCAAACTGACTCAATTTCCCATCTCAACAGCCGTCCAATATTATCCCATGATGCATCACCTGAGCTCTTTTCAACCCACATGCCTTACGCTTTGTTGCCCAAATCAGTGACTGCTTCTTCTTCTGGCTGCAGATTTGTGTACGTTTGCAGAAACCCAAAAGATGTTCTGGTTTCCAAATGGATTTTCATGAACAAATTGAGGCCTAAGCAACTTGCACCCCTCTCACTACAAGAAGCATATGACCTGTTTTGCCAGGGGGTTTCACACTATGGGCCCTTCTGGGACCATGTGCTGGGATATTGGAAAGCAAGCTTAGAGTTTCGTGACAAAATATTCTTCTTGAAATATGAGGATCTGAAGAAGGACCCCTTTGTTCATTTGAAGAGATTGGCTGAATTTTTGGGCCAGCCCTTTTCATTAGAGGAAGAGAGAAAGGGGGTTGTGCAGGAAATAATAAAGCTCTGTAGTTTTCAGAACTTGAGTCATCTGGAGGTGAATAAAACCAAGGTGCAATGGTTTAGTAGCCAGCTTGTTGTTTAGAACAGTTACTTCTTTAGGAAAGGTCAAGTTGGGGACTGGAAAAATTATTTCACAGATGAGATGGCAAGACGTCTAGATCAGATCACAGATGACAAGTTCAATGCTTCTGGATTGACATTTGGTCCTGCGGCCGAGTAATTACGGTCTTTTCTTTTGTGCCTCTTGTCTTCATGCATGTAACTTATAATTTAATTCATCAAATAAGGTTGTAGTCCATCCATACCATACAATCAAAAGCATAAACAAATCGATGTCTTTTATTGTAGAAATATTAATTAAAAAGCAGAACAATTAAGCGAGAGCTTAATTAAAGCTTTGATTCATCTAAAGTTTCAAACCAAAAGAACCCAACTTTTCCTCTGTGATTTGGTCAAGATGCTCAAGCATCTCAACCGTTAGATGGTTCTTGGAGTCTCCAACCTCTCCTCGTCTGAAGAAGGCACTGTTGTTCACCAGCAAAGGTGTTTGCCCCGTTTGGGACGCGATATGGACATGATATGCCCCACATTTGTTCACCTCCAAATTACTCAAATTCTGAAAACTGCACAAGTTTATAATTTCTTGCACAACACCTTGCCTCTCTTCCTCTAACGAAAAAGGATGCCCCATGAACTCAGCCAACCTCTTCACATGCTGCATTGTGTCCATTTTCATATCCTCGTACTTCATAAAGACTACCTGATCAGGGCGTTCCAAGCTCGCTTTCCAGTAGTCGAGAACATGATCCCAAAAGGGGCCTGTAATTGAAACCCCTTTGCAGAACAACTCAAATGCCTCTTCCATGGAAATTGCTGCTAGTGGTTGCCCCTTTGATTGGTCAGTTTTGGATTTAAATTTCTGGCAGAAGCTCCAATAAGAAACAAAAACATCTTTTGGGTTCCTAGCAATATACACAATTCGACCACCTGAATCACTCAAAATGGATTTTGGTAACGATGTGTATGGAATGTGGGTTGAAAGCAATCTAGGTGATGATGGAGGAAGAGAGTCTAGGTAGGCGATTAGATTGCCTCCAATCATGTGCTCTTCATCACGAACCTCTAGGTATGGTACACAATTGTGTGGACTTTTTGTGAGCAACGGATGGGATGCTGCTGCTGCTGCTGCTGATGATGATGGAAGATGAGGGTAGCGCTTTCGATTTACGATAGCAAACATTAGGGCCTTCATCCAGGTTGTACCGGACTTTGGAGAGGCAGCCAAGAGAATGTCAGTGTCTCTAGCCTTGAAACTTTGTTGTGCCCAAATGGTGCCTAAAAGCCAAACGCTGGAGTACCAAAAGCCTTGGTATTGGTAGTAACACCCACCAGCTCCCAAGCCTTTAGGGAGAGTTGACAGCATTTCTCCGAAGTTTTCACGGAAATTCTTGTTTTCCTCTACTTGTCCATCGAAAAGATCAGACCCACTTGAAGCCATCTATATTCTAGTCGAACTGAGAATAAAAATAACAATTTACCAATGGAAAGGCAAGAGAGAAGATGGAATGAAGTAATGTGAGAAGAGATGAAGTGCTGCATGGCTATATATGGAGTGTCTGCGCATGCAGCAGCTCTTCGGAGAAATGGGAGGGTACGTAGAAACTGTTAGAAATTTTTATTGCTATTTCAAAATACCAAGCCGTTTCATTTCCTACAATGGCTGGTTGTATTTGTTTTGAATATTCTACATTTGTTTGTGCTCATAATTTCTACTGGGACTGTTTTTCTTTATATTAATTTAAAGCTAATAACCAATCTATTGTTTTCAAAGTAAACATTAAAAGTTGGATACACAAAATCAGCCTTTTATTAATGTAATATTAATTGTAAACGGTTTGCTGGCTACATTTGATATATATCTAACGTGCTTCCGTCATTAATTTCCAAACTATAATTTGATAACGTTTGGAAATTAGAGAGAGAATGAAAGCTGTAACTTGTAAGCTTCATATCACACGTGAAATGAAAGGATCAAATAGCTAGCTAGCTAGCTAGCCAAACCTACGTACAATTGCAAATTCATGCAACCGTTGGATCAAACTAACGGAACAAAATTTTGTAAACCCATGATTTGTTTCATTCAACGGTTGATCAAGTTGTTTCTAAAATTTCAGACCAGAAGCGCCCAATTTTTGCTTTGTAATTTTGTCAAGACGGTCGAGCATCTCAGGTGTTAGGTGGTTCTTTGAGTCTCCAGTCTGCCCTCGTCTGAAGAAGACATCGTTGCTGAATTTTCCATCAGTTTTGGACCCCACACCAAATGTCCCACTTTTGTTCACCTCCAAATTACTCAAGTTGTCAAAACTGCACAACTTTATTATTTCTCGCACAGCACCTTCTTGCTCTTCCTTTGATGAAAAAGGAAGGCCCATGAACTCTGCCAGCCTCTTTACAGAGCATTCTGTGTCAATCTTGATATCCTCAAACTTCAAAAACAGAACCTTCTCTGGGTTTTCCAAGCTTGCTTCCCAATAACCCAGTACATTATCCCAAAATGGGCCAGAAAGTGCAATCCCTTTGCAGAACAACTCAAACCCCTCTTCTATGGGAAGAGGAGCTAGCTTGTTTATATTTGATCTTATTTTTTGGGAAAATACCCAATAAGAAATAAGAACATCTTTTGGGTTCCTAGCAACGGATACAATTTTAGTACCAGAATTCAAAATGGACTTTGGCAACGACCTGTGTGGAATGTGAGTCGCAAGGAATCTAGGTGAGGCCATAGCGTCAAGGTAGTCAATTGGGTTATCTTGGTGAGCAAGTAACTCTATGTAGGGCACACAATCATGAGGGCTTTTTGTGAGCAATGGATGTGACGAAAAATCGTAGTTTTCTCGATTTTGGATGGCAAACATGAGAGCCTTCACCCATGTTGTACCACACTTGGGAAAAGTGGCCAAGAAAATGTCATTGTCTCTAGCCCTGAAATTTGCTTGTGCCCAAATGACACCTTCAAGAAAAATCTGAGGGTACCAAAAGCCTTCATATTGGTAGTAATGATCGGTTCCCCAGCCTCTGTCTTTAGAGAGGGTTGAGATAATTTCTTCGCAGTTTTGGAGGACATCTCTTTTTTCCTCCTGTCCTTGATAAGCGGAAAGGGAGAGAGAAGCCATAATCTGATATAATGAAAATCATGCATATAAATTCACAAGATTTTTATAGGGTGCATCACTTTGCATGCAATGGATTTTTCCTCTTTAACCTGTGGATGCAATGGTTTAGTGTTTCCTTAATTCATGCATTTGACCAAGTCATGACCATCCAGTCTTCAAATGCAGAATAGCAGTAGAAAATGTTGCAATTTCAGTCAACTTTGTTGAAAATGTTAATACCACAAAGATATTTAGATAGGGGTCCAAGCAATACAACCACTAAAAATTGAATACTAGATAGACATTATAGCACAAAAGCAATAAATGCTAATCATTTCCCATATGTCAAGTATGGGAATTGTCCTGGATTCAAACAATGGAAGCTCACCGAAGCAACAACTCAATTATGCACAGAAGGCCATATTCCAATCTCTGAATACCCATCCTCAGTAGCGCAAGCTCGGAACATGCCTGTAGTATTGAAAGGCATTGTCACTTCCCCTGTGGCAGATACAGCAACCAAACCTACAGTGCCTTTTGGAGTGCCCTCCTCCACAACATAAGCTGCAGCTTCTTTGAGAGAAACTCCCTTGAACTCCATAAGAGCTGCTACATCCCTTGCAACCGTACCACGGATTATCGCTTCACCTTTGCCCGTGGCAGAAACTGCACAGAGACTGTTGGCATATGTCCCTGCACCAATGATGGGTGTGTCCCCAATCCGACCAACCATCTTGTTCACTAATCCGCCAGTAGAAGTTGCAGAAGCTAAATTCCCGAGACTATCGACAGCCACGCATCCAACCGTCCCAAGTTTACTATCCCCATCAGCTTCTGGTGTTTCTTTCTTCTCATCTTTGTGAAGGGGTTGTGTATAATCAATCTGTACATTTGTGGCAAAAATGATCAGTCAGCACCAAACAAGAGTAGCCACTGGTTATGCAACTCTAATGTGTGAGTGTGAGGCAAGTCAACTTCGTAACTCACAAGCCAAGATTTATACAAACAGAAACTTAGACAAGAGTGTACCTGCACTCTGTTGGCTTCTTTTGCCTGCTTCAGCCTCTCAACATTCTCTGGGGTAATGAAATGACTTGAATCTACAGTCTCAACACCCTGCAAAATTAGGAAGCCATACAAGAAAATTGAAGATCAAGAAACCCATTACAGGAAAAACCATTTTAAGCCCATGGTAAAATTGGTTGTGAGGCACTAACTTGTCCCCTTGCAAAGGCCTCTGCTCCATCAAATGCAAGATAAATGTGAGGAGTTTTCTCCATGACCAGTCTTGCTAAAGATATGGGATTGACAACAGTGGTGAGCCCAGAAACAGCTCCACATCTCTTGGTTCCATCCATGATGCAAGCTTCCATTTCAACTGTGCCTTGGGTGGTCAAGACAGACCCTTTACCAGCATTAAAGTGTGGAATGTTCTCTAACTCACGAACCTATGCATTTACTAATAAAATGATCAGACTCACTCATTCCTCATTCATAATATTTCATTGCCAAAAAATTAAATTAAGTTAAATGATCCGGTAAAAATAGAGAAGAGGGTTTTCTTAATCCATAAATTGAAATTGAAATTGAGAACAGTTGATAATTTGATTACCACAAGCTCAACGACGTCTAAAGTGGGGGTGTTGGCTTTGAGAGCTTCAACGCCGATGTGGAGGCAGTAGCGGAGGCCGGCCTCGCGAGGCAGGCGGCGCTCCTGCGGCAGAGAGAGCGGGATGTCGCCTGCACCGCCGTGGAGTGCTATTGCCCACCCCATCTCTCTATCTATCTTCCTTCTTGCCTTGGTGTCTGTTACCGGTTACAGATACTCAGGTGGGTCTCGTGCGTGCCTATGAAGTTGGGGGCAGTTCAGAAGTGCACATGCACAAGGAGGACTGGGACTGCGGGGGCATTATGGTAAATTGGAAATAACATGCATTATTAAGTTGAGACATAAAATAGTCAAATAGTGGGTCCAAGTTCCAGACTTCATTTCATTTGATTAGAGATGCTAATGCCAATGAGATTCATCCAAATGCATCGTTTATTGGAAAAATCCGAAATAATGTTACACTGATAACCAAACCCAATAATAAATAAATAAATAAAAACCAAAGCCACGCGAGTCTGATGAGATCCCTTTCTTTTGAAACAACGCGTCAAATCTGTTGCCTTCAAGTTTGAATCTCTCTTTCCGTAAATTAGATTAATTTATATTACTCATGATATACGATAAATTAATTTATACTACTGATGGTATACGATAAAAAAATTCCATTTGCCATGATCCTGAATTACCAATATATCCTAATTATTATAAAAAATCAACAGCAGTTAAATAAAACCAAATTGGCCTATTAGCTCAGCTGGTTAGAGCGTCGTGCTAATAACGCGAAGGTCGCAGGTTCGAGACCTGCATAGGCCATTATTTTTTTATTTTTAAACTTTTTTCCGTGTTTGTATTTGGGCCGTGTTTGGGTCGTTGAATGTCATTGAATAAAACCCAAAATGGGACAAAACAAAACAAGAGAAGCCCGAAGAGGGGAGAACGGAAAAAACAAAAGAAAAAGGGAACAAAATTACAAAAAACACCTCTGGACAAGCAGGCTGAAAAGCAAAGTAAGCCCTCAATAGCCTCTGAACTCAATAGCCCTTAAGACTGGTCATCCCTGACTTTATATTTACACAGAGAATGCCGTGATTTACATGAGCTACCAAAAATATCGAGGCATCCTTCATATCATTCTTTTTGTTTCTTCCTCTGCCTGCCTATGCTTCACTTGTGGTTTTCAAAGGCAAAAATAGCCTACTTCTTCCTACTAATCACTTCATCTGTTCATCACCACAACGTTTATATTCCTGGAACTTTCTCGTACTCGTAATTGTACCACTCTCTGATTCCTGATCACTTAACTTCCTCTTAACTTCACCTGTTAATCACTTCACTGTGGTGAGTGAAGACCAGCAAGTTTCTTTTGCACCACACTGTAAAAATTACAAAGGATTGTTTACACACACACACACACACATATATATATATATAAACCGAGAAATAGGGAAAAAGAACTTAATCTGGTCAGTATCAAATACCGCTGCTTCTGCTTTGCTTCACTCAAGATTATGAACATTCGGAAGATTCGTGCATATCATAATTTTTCCGCATCAAGAACACCCTGAATGGATAAGAAAACCAGTCAACTGAGTGATGAAAAACAAACTAACATAAATAGATTTGGGTCCGTCACTTTAGATCTCAACCTTAATGATCATAATTGCTGCCTCCTTGTGCAAACCCTCATTATACTCCTTACAAGCAAAACTCTGCAATGCAAAATGTTTCCAGTTACTTCATGTTGAGCGAGAGAGATAAAGCAAATATAAAGAATGAGAGACAGACTTGAAGACAATTAGGGCAGCCTCCATGTTCTGAGCAGTGGCAAGATGTAAGAAGTTCCAAAGCAGCAATTAAGAGCTCCATGAAAATCGGCTGAACCTGTTACATGTCCCAGTATATTCATTACGAAATAGAGTCAACATGATGGATATTGCTGTCCTGTGGTCAGAATCCTCTTCGGAAACCAAACCGGGCATCAACATGAAACTATTATCAGATATATTAAAGGGCCGCCTAGCATCCCTTAGGTTTCCTCATATGGTAGAACATAGAGTAATCAAAGATCACAGCATTAAGAAGATGACCTTTTTATAAAAGGTAAAAATAAATAAAACCAAGCTTTCTTCAGCAAAAGTAATGACACTTCAGTTTTCACCTGAACAGAGACACCACTTCCTCCGGGATGCCGGTCATATAATAGAATCCTTTCCGGGTAATAGCGGGTGTGTAGGTTTATACACTCTGGAGCCAAGTCTGATAAGTTGCATATTATTCGTCTGCATGCCAAAACATCATAATGCAATCAGTCGCACACAACCATTGGAATCATAACGAACATGTTTCAAATTCTTAAGAGAATCTGACTAGGGAGGGAGCCAGTAAATCAAAATGTAAACCATGCATGCGATGCAATACACCGGCTTTGAAAAATGCAACTGCACAAATATACTGAAAAATGCAAGGCTGATGGAGACTGTTATATGAAAATCACAAATATAAGGACTCACAAAGGCACAATGTTTAGAACAACATGTGATGCAGCATGCAGCCCTGCTCGGAAATCAAGGTCTTTCATAATTACAGCTTCTTTTACTGATTGTGGAACCGGAACCCAAACTGCCTGTTTTGATGAAAAGATGAAACAGATTATATAGACAAAACGAGAAGACAAACAACAATTCAAGGTTAATCATAGAACCAACCAATGACAATCTAGGGTGCAAGGACACCCCAATATTCTGGGGCATGCAACGTCCGACCCGCAAACAGACACAAGATGCGACGGATACAGCACAATACGTGTCCGTTGAGGAGACACATTTGACACAGTGGAGACATGGGAAGGACGCAGTCAGGACACATTTGGAAGGGGATGGGAGAGGAGGGGGGCTCAGTCCATGAGTTTTTCTTTCTTTTCTCTTCTACTCCTCTAGCTACCTTTGCGACCTCGAAATTTGAAATGGGTTTGTACTTTATAGATTAAAAATTATAGTGCACAGTATGTAGGGTTACTTGGGTATTTGAATGGGTTGAGTTCAGGTTCAGATTGCTGAAATTGCAAGGTTGAGTTGGGTATTTGAATGGGTACAGCTGTTTGAATGGGTTGATGAGCTGATTTGTTAATTATAATAATATATTATTATAATTTCCATGTCATTACTGTATCAATGTCCTAGTTTTTGGAAATGTGCAGTGTCCTCATGTCATTCCATATTGGGTTACGTGCCTGTGCAACATAGATGACGATGTTAGTATGTACTCAGATTTACCTGTGACTCATAAGAATATTTAGGAAGTACATGGTCAACTGTTTCCATTATCTCATTGCTTCCTCTAGATACACGATGGTACCCTAACCATGTAGTTGTTACTTTGCAAGGATCTGCTTGGGCAGTTGTTCTTGAGAACTGGATGTTGGAGAGCTGAGGCCGATAAGCCTACAACAGCAAATTAACTCATGCAAGTTACGGAAATGCATTGAGGAAAAGGCATTGCGAGCAAAAGTTTAAGAATCTGACGTACAAATTTACTGCCGATGACATGAATATCTGTGGAATCACGGCATTTTGTGTAATACTTCAAATCAGCCACGTAGCACAAAGCAATCTTACGTGATAAATCTAAGCTTGTGACCAGATACGTCTTTCCTTGGTTCATATAAACAGCACCTTCATATACCTGGATTAAACGTATGAGGATAAAATGATCTAAAGTAAATTCATAAAGAGATAATTGGGGAAAAAAACTCCGAATAATAGTGTACAAAGTATTTTATGGTTTCCAACAAGGTAAGGTAGAAAATGTATTATGGATGTGCATTAGAATTTTACCTGAAAAAAAGCCCTGCTTTCCTCAATCTCTTCAAGGATTTCTTTCTTTTGCTGGTCTATAACTTTGTATCTCTCAGTTTCTATTGATCGTATACTAACTGAATGTGAAGGCATTTTCTACAACAACAAAAAATATATTTCACAGAAAAAGATTATGTTAGAAACCAAAAGGTCGTGGTTGTTCAAAATATACAGAATCCTGTACAGAGCAAACAACGGCATGCTGCAAGAGAAGAAGAAATTATAAACCAAAGAACAGTAGAATTAAACTCAGACAAAGCAAAGAAATAATGTACCTCGTGCCCAATATAGTTCCAAAACTTAGCAGAAGAATTACATGATGAATCACAACTCAAGTATCCTCTGTTTTTAAGAGACACTATGGCACTGTCTAAACCAGAACCGAAAAACTTCTCGTCATAAGACAAACCCAGTGGATGTTCGTGAGCAGCACAAACCAACTGCTGTGCAAGAACCTACAAGGAATAAGGAATCAAGAAGCATAAAATCAATATTGCCAATTCACTAGACACAAATTAGTCACGGATAAATGAAAGGAATGTAAATATAAGAAAATTTAAAACCTGTTGGTTCTTAGCGTCAACATGACAGCACTCAATTGGGCTTCCAAAAAGTTTCTTTGGATATTTCATAAAATATTGATCAAGGGGCCCTTCAAATGCAACATACACAGCAAGAGAAGGTCTATCTCTCCTCCCGGCTCTGCCAGCTTGTTGCCACAAGCTTCAGACATGCATCGAAGAGGAGGAAAAAACTAGTATAAAACAACAAATATACTCAATTAAAACAATTTGAGCAATAAGTTAAAGCACTGGTGGGAACAGGATTAACTGGAAGCCTACCTAGAAATACTACCAGGAAAACCTAAATGAAGAGTCACATCAATGTGTCCAACATCAATACCCAATTCAAGGGCATTTGTTGCAGCAATACCACAAAGCTTTCCATCAAAAAAATCACTCTCTATTCTTCTCCTATTCTGCTCCACCAGTCAAGCAAATACTGTCAGAAGGCTGTTCAAACTAAACAAGACATTAACAGGATATATACATTGATTGTCAGTAACAAAGTTGCACAGACTACGAAACAGAAGAAAGTACTATCACATAAATACATCACATACTCTCTTTTACCTTGTATCTTTATTATAAATGGGGTGAGAGAGAGAGAGAGAGAGAGAGAGAAACAATAATGTCTATCAGCTTCAATGAGGTATAATAATTTCGAACTTTTAAGTAAACAGAGGAATAATCTAGATAATAGCTGACTCCCCCTATTGATTGCAGTCCATGATTATGAATATTGAGAGCACAAAAAACCTAATGGTTCAACAATCTAAATTTCAACCAAAAAAAAAAAGGTAACCACTCCAAGGTTCTCTTCCACAAAGACTGCATTTGAAATGACAGAAATAAATGCAGGGCAAAAAGCTCACTAACCTGAGCAATGTAACCAGCACGATAAGCACATATAGA